GTGTCTTGTGTTGGTGTCTTGTGTTGAGTCTTGTGTTGTGTCTTATGTTGAGTCTTGTGTTGTAGTCTTGTGTTGTGCTGTCTTGTGTTGTATCTTTGTGAGTTTGTTGTCTTGTGTTGTGTCTTGTGTTGTGTCTTGTGTTGTGTCTTGTGTTGTGTCTTGTGTTGTGTCCTTGTGTTGTGTCTTGTGTTGTGTCTTGTGTTGAGTATTGTGCTGTGTCTTGTGTTGGTCTTTAATTCTTGTGTGAGTCTTTTGTGTCTTTGTTGTGTCTTTGTGATGAGTGTTTTGTATTGTGTCTTTGTGTCTTGTGTTGTGTCCTTGTTGTGTTGTGTTGTGTCTTGTGTTGATCTTGTGTTGTGTCTTGTGTTGAGTCTTGTGTTGTGTCTTGTGCTGAGTCTTGTGTTGTGTCTTTTGTTGTGTCTTGTGTTGTGTCTTGTATTGTGTCTTGCGTTGTGTCTTGTGTTGTGCTGTGTTGTGTCTTATGTTGAGTCTTGTGTTGTGTCTTGTGTTGAGTCTTGTGTTGTGTCTTGTGCTGATCTTGTGTTGTGTCTTTGTTGTGTCTTGTGTTGTGTCTTGTATTGTGTCTTGTGTTGTGTTCTGTGTTGTGTATGTGTCTTGTTGAGTCTTGTGTTGTGTCTCATGTTGAGTCTTTGTGTTGTGTCTTGTGCTGACTCTTGTGTTGTGTCTTGTGTTTTGTCTGTGGTTAGTGGTCTTGTATTGGTCTTGGGTTGTGTCTTGTGTTGTTCTTGTGTTGAGTCTTGTGTTGTGTCTTGTGTTGGTCTTGTGTTGTGTCTTGTGTTGTGTCTTGTGTTGTGTCTTGTGTTGAGTCTTGTGTTGTGTCTTTGTTGAGTCTTGTGTTGAGTCTTGTGCTTGACTCTTTGTGTTGTAATCTTGTGTTGAGTCTTTGTGTTGTGTCTTGTGTTGTGTCTTGTGTTGTGTCTTGTGTTGTGTCTTGTGTTGTGTCTTGTGTTGTGTTTTGTGTTGTGTCTTGTGTTGTGTCTTGTGTTGAGTATTGTGCTTGTGTCTTGTGTTGGTTGTTTGTTCTGTGTTAATTATTGTTTGAGTCTTGTTGTTTCTTGTGTTGTGTCTTGTGATGATGTTTTGTTGTGTCTTGTGTTGAGTCTTGTGGTTTGTGTACTGTGTTGTGTCTTGTGTTGTGTCTTGTGTTGAGTCTTGTGTTGTGTCTTGTGTTGAGTCTTGTGTTGGTATTGTGTTGAGTATTGTCTTGAGTCTTGTGTTGTGTTTTGTGTTGTGTCTTGTGTTGTGTTTGTGTTGTGTCTTGTGTTGATCTTGTATTGTGTCTTGTGTTGAGTTTTGTGTTGTGTCTTGTGTTGTGTCTTGTGTTGTATCTTGTGTTGAGTTTTGTGTTGAGTCTTGTGTTGTGTCTTTGTGTTTGTGAGTTTGTGTTGGTCTTGTGTTGTGTCTTGTGTTGAGTCTTGTGTTGTGTGCTCTGTGTTGAGTCTTGTGTTAATTCTTGTGTTGTGTCTTGGGTTGTGTGCCTTGTGTTGAGTTTTGAGTTGTGTCTTGGTTGTTGTGACTTGTGTTGAGTTCTTGTGTTGAGTCTTGTGTTGTTCTTGTGTGTCTTTGTGTGTGAGTCTTGTCTTGAGTCTTGTGTTGTGTCTTGTGTTGAGTCTTGTGATGTGTCTTGTGTTGAGTCTTGTGTTGTGTCTTGTGTTGGTCTGTTTGTGTTGTGTGTTGTTGTCCTTGTGTTGAGTTTTGTTTGTGTCTTGTGTTGAGTCTTGTGACTGTGCCTTGTGTTGTGTCTTGTGTTGTGTCTTGTGTTGAGTCTTGTGTTGTGTCTTGTGTTGTGTCTTGTGTTGTGTGTTGTGCTTGTGTTGGTTTGTGTTGTGTCTTGTGTTGTCTTGTTTACAGTTGCTTGTGTTGTGTCTTGTGTTGTGTCTTGTGTTGAGTCTTGTGTTGTGTCTTGTGCTGGTGTCTTGTGTTGAGTCTTGTCTTGATATTGTGTTGTTTCTTGTGTTGGTCTTTGTTGTGTCTTGTGTTGAGTCTTGTGTTGTGTCTTGTGTTGTTCTTGTGCTGAGTCTTGTGTGTTGTTGTTCCTGTGTTGTCTTGTGTTTGTCTTGTGTTGTGTCTTGTGTTGTGTCTTTGTTGTCTTTTGTTGAGTTTTGTTGTGTCTTGTGTTGTGTCTTGTGTTGTGTCTTGTGTTGGTCTTGTGTTTGTGTCTGTGCAGATCTTGTGTTGTGTCTTGTGTTGAGTCTTGGTTGTCTCTTGTGTTGTTTTTGTGTTGTTTCTTTCGTTGTGTCTTGTGTTGTGTCTTGGTTGTGTCTTGTGTTGTTTCTTGTGTTGTTCTTGTGTTGGTCTTGTGTTGTGTCCTGTGTTGAGTCTTGTGTTGTGATCTTGTGTTGTGTCGTGTGTTGTGTCTTGTGTTGATATTGTGATTGAGTATTGTGTTATATTGTGTCGACTTGTGTTGTGTCTTGTGTTGAGTCTTGTGTCTTGTGTTGAGTCTTGTGTTGTGTCTTGTGTTAGTCTTGTGTTGTCTTGTGTTGTGTTTGTGTTGTGTCTTGTGTGAGTCTTGTGTTGTGTCTTGTGTTGTGTCTTGTTGTTGAGTCTTGTGTTGGAATCTTGTGTTGAGTCTTGTTTGTCTTGTGTTGGTCTTGTGTTGTGTCTTGTGTTTTGTTGTGTTGTGTCTTTGTGAGTCTTGTGTTGTCTCTTGTGTTGTGTCTTGTGTTGTGTCTTGTGTTAAGTCTTGTTTGTGTCTGTGCTGGTTTGTGTCTTGTGTTGTGTCTGTGTGTTGTGTCTTGTGCTGGTCTATGTGTTTTGTGTTCTTGTGTTGTGTCTTTGTGTGAGTCTTGTGTTGTGTCTTTGTTGGTCTTGTGTTGTGTCTTGTGTTGGTCTTGTGTTGAGTCTTTGTTGTGTCTTGTGTTGTGTCTTGTGTTGTGTCTTGTGCTGAGTCTTGTGTTGTGTCTTTTGTGTGTCTTGTGTTGTGTCTTTGTTAGTTCTTGTGTTGTGTCTTGTGTTGAGTCTGTGTTGTGTCTTGTGCTGAGTCTTGTGTTGTGTCTTTTGTTGTGTCTTGTGTTGTGTCTTGTGTGAGTCTTATGGTTGGTCTTGTGTTGTGTCTTGTGTTGTGTCTTATGTTGAGTCTTGTGTTGTGTCTTTGTTTGAGTCTTGGTTGTGTCTTTGTGGTTGGTTGGTTTGTGTTGTGTCTTATGTTGAGTCTTGTGTTGTGTCTTTGTGTGTTGTGTCTTATGTGAGTCTTGTGTTGTGTCTTATGTTGAGTCTTGTGTTGTGTCTTATTGTTGAGTCTTGTGTTGTGTCTTATGTTGAGTCTTGGTGGTTGTGTTGTCTTTGTTGAGTCTGTTTTGCTTGTGTTGTGTCTTTTTGTTTTGTGTCTTGTGTTGTGTCTTGTATGTGTCTTGGGTTGTGTCTTGTGTTGAGTCTTGTGTTGTGTCTTTGTTGTGTTGTGTTTTGTGTCTTGTTTGTGTCTTGGGTTGTGTCTTGTGTGAGTCTTGTGTTGTGTATTGTGTTGTGTCTTGTGTTGAGTCTTGTGGTTGTGTCTGTGTTGAGTCTTGTGTTGTGTCTTGTGCTGAGTCTTGTGTTGTGTCTTGTGTTGTGTCTTGTGTGTGTCTTGTTTTGTGTCTTGGGTTGTGTCTTGTGTTGAGTCTTGTGTTGTGTTTGTGTTGTGTCTGTGTTGAGTCTTGTGTTGTGCTTGTGTTGAGTCTTGTGTTGTGTCTTGTGCTGAGTCTGTGTTGTGTCTTTGTTGTGTGTCTTGGTTGTGTCTTGTGTTGTGTCTTGTGTTGTGTCTTATGTTGGTCTTGTATTGTGTCTGTGTTGAGTCTTGTGTTGTGTCTTGTGTTGTGTCTTTGCTGAGTCTTGTGTTGTGTCTTTGTGTTGTGTCTTGTGTTGTGTCTTGTATTGTGTCTTGTGGTTGTGTCTTGTGTTTGTCTTGTGTTGTGTCTTGTGTTGATCTTGTGTTGTGTCTTGTGTTGTGTCTTATGTTGAGTCTTGTGTTTGAGTCTTGTGTTGTGTCTTGTGTTGTGTCTTGTGTTGATGTCTTGTGTTGTGTCTTGTGTTGTGTCTTTTTGGTCTTGTGTTGTGTCTTGTGTTGTGTCTTGTGTTGTGTCTTGTGTTAGATCTTGTGTTGTGTCTTGTGTTGAATCTCTGTGTTGAGTCTTGTGTTGTGTCTTGTGTTGTGTCTTGTGTTGAGTCTTTGTGCTTGTGTACTTGTGTTGGTCTTGTGTTGTGTCTTGTGTTGTGTATTGTGTTGTGTCTTATGTTTGAGTCTTGTGTTTGAGTCTTGTGTTGTGTCTTGTGTTGTGTCTTGTTTGAGTCTGTGTGTTTGGTTATTCGAGTGTTTAGTCTTGATGTTGATGTTTGTGTTGACTCTTGTGTGTGTGTCTTGTGTTGTTGTCTTGTGTTGATCTGTGTTGTGTCTTGTGTGAGTCTTATGTTGAGTCTTGTGTTGGTCTTGTGTTGTGTCTTGTGTTGAGTCTTGTGTTGTGTCTTGTGTTGGTCTTGTGTTGTGTCTTGTGTTGTGTCTTGTGTTGAGTCTTGTGTTGTGTCTTGGTGTTGATGTCTTGTGTTGAGTCTTGTGTTGTGTCTTGTGTTGTGTCTTGTGTTGAGTCTTGTGTTGTGTCTTATGTTGAGTCTTGTGTTGTCTTGTGTTGAGTCTTTGTTGTGTATTGTGTTGTGTCTTGTGTTGTGTCTTGTATTGTGTCTTGTGTTGTGTCTTGTATTGTGTCCTGTTGTTGTGTCTTGTGTTATTTCTTGTATTGTGTCTTGTGTTGTGTCTTGGTTGATTCTAGTGTTGGTCTTGGGTTGTGTCTTGTGTGTGCTCTTGTGCTGTGTCTTGTGTTGTGTCCTGTGTTGAGTTTGGATTAATTACATGTGTTGTCTTGGTTGTCTAAGTTTGTGTAATTTTTGATCTTGTGTTGTGGTCTTGTTCTGTCTTGTGTTAATCTTGTGTTGATCTTTGGTGTTGTCATTTGTTGTTCTTGTGTTGATCTTTTTTGTATCTTGTGTTTGTCTTGTTTAAGTCTTTGTTAAGGTCTTTGTTTGTCCCTTGTGTTGTGTGCTCTGTTAGTGTCTTGGTTGAGATGTTGTGTTGAGTCTTGTGTTGTGTCTTTGTTGATGTCTTGTGTTGAGTCTTGTGTTAGTTTCTGCTTGTTGTGTCTGTGTGAGTCCTTGTGTTGTGTCGTTGTGTTGTGTCCTGTGTTGAGTCCGTGTAATTCTTGTGTGTGTCCTTGGTGTTCTTGTGATGGTCTTGGTTGAGTCTTGTGTTGAGTCTTGTGTTGTGTCTTGTGTTGTGTCTTGGTTGTTCTTAGTAATGTTAGAAAAACACGTTAACATTCATACATTTACGCATGCAAGTCTTTAGTAAAATTCTCTGCTGATCCAAGGAATTGGAGCGTCATCCCCTCTCCTTGTATCAAACCTGATTGCCCCATTCTCCATGGGTGCTTAAGCATACAAGTTTGAGCGGTTTCCCCATGTATAATAACTTTTATTGGAATATTCTTTTTCTTATCAAAGCTTCTACTGTTTACAGGATCGTTCTGTTATCTGTTAACACAGACTACTGTTTGTGTGACACCTGTTAACTGTTTATGAAGCATTGCTGTTAAACTGTGTTCGAACTGTTTATGTATATTTCACTGTTTGTCTTAAGGACCCCTCCCAATGACTACTGTTAACAGAATCTCTCCTGCTTCTTTACCTGTTAGCTATGAACCTGTTGTTCCTGAAGGCGTTACCGTTGATGGCACCGGAGGCCCTGAGCCGGGTGAGGGCAGCCCTGGCCTCCGCCCGGTCACTTGGGTCGTCATCATATAAGTCATCATACAGGTCTTCAATGGAGTCGTCTCGGTCATTGTCGAAGAAGTCGTCGAAGTCATCGAAGTCGTCGTCGAAGCGTAGGAATCCTGAGCCTGCTTGACGACGATGACTGGAGGTGAATGGTCCTCCAGTGAAGGTCCTGCCCTGTGTGAGGGAGGGGGAGGTTAATGGATGGGAGGGTATATGTAACCCACTCATGGGCCGCTAAAAGCTAAACTACCCATTACACTAAGCATCGTTATGGGGAGTTGACAGATGCAAACATAAATGTCTGGAGTCTGCAGTGATTACCACCAGCAAGACTGTAAACATCAAGTCTGGCTCCACCAACTGTGGTCACAGTATTACCAACTTTTATATTTAAAGATTTATTTCTTTGCAATGTTTACAATGTGTGATTACAATTTTGATTTGTTAAGTACAAAGAAAGTCACTACCATGCTTATAAACCGTGCCACCAGCACTGTCACCATCACTCACCTGGCTACGCTGCCCCACCACCATCACCACCATCACCACCAACATCATCTGGAAGGAAAAAAATAGAATTGGCAAAACTCTTGCTTCACACGCTGAGGGTCAGAGTTCGATTCCCGGAAAGGGTGAAAACATTTGGCGTCTTTCCTTACATCTGTTGTCCCTGTTCACTCATTAGTAAAATGGGTACCTGGGTGTTTGTGGACTGGTGTGGGTCGCATCCTGAGACAAAATTGATCTAATTTGTGGGAAATGTTTTGCATAGTAAGGTGCTTTCTGTATGTCATTGATGTCAGTGGAGTGGAGTGGAGTGACTTTCATTAGTTTCTATTTTCTTGAAATACCAGACATATACTGTGAATCTCATATAACCTGTAGTTACCAGCGGTCGCAATATACATAACGAGAAGCAAATATTACTACAGAAAAAGCATCCTTCCTCCAAAATTTCCACCAGTCAACTATAGTGATAATATAGCATTTATTGTGGTGGAGACGGAAAAAACCTAGAAAAGCTAGATACAGTGATTGATAAACAAGGGTTGAGGTCGACCATTCGTCATTGTAGCAGCTGCCAGCAATCACCGGTTCTTCAACACGCAAGTTATACTTTTTGTATTAATCAAATCACATATTACTTGGGTAGATAACTTCCAGTAGATCCTTCATGTGTTAGCCCAAATCACCGACCAGTATGTTTTAGAAAAGTGACCCACTGATCAGATCAGATCAGATCAGTAGATCCTTCATGTGTTAGCCCAAATCACCGACCAATATGTTTTAGAAAAGTGACCCACTGATCAGATCAGACTGGTTCTGAACCCTCGACTGGTCCGAACCCTCGACCAATTTCAAACGGATTCGTTGGACAATAAAGCAGACTGTAAATGGATGGGGTTGTAGACCCCCTTAAAAACAAAAAAATAAAAAAAAAAACAGGAGGTCCCCCGTAAGCTGCCTAACATACGTACAGTTAGAAAGAAATACAAAAAACTGAGCTTCATTTTAAAGGAGGTTTTTAAATGAGTATTAAAAGAGGTTGTAGTAGATTACAGTAATTCAACCATTCAAAATTATGAAGCCCTGTGTATCTGCAATCAATCAAAACAAACGGGTTTCCCAACATGGATAAATTGTCTTTTTTGGGGAAAAATTGGCGTCACGGGGGGAGCTTCAAAAATTCAACTTCAATAAAAAAAAACTAAAGGGGGCCCAAGAAAACCAAGTCCAAACCGTATAAGCTGGAAGATTTTAAGCCCCCCAAAAGGGCCCCAACGTATGCCTAAAAGATTAACTTTGGGGGCACTCGATGTTTGAAAGGGTTATTCCTCTAAGAAAAAGGAGTAGAGTAAAAAAGAAAGAGACAGGGCTCCCTTTACAGGCGAGGAAAAAAATACAGAGCGGGTAAAAGAGGTCAATATTTGAAATGCATAGGGGGACAGGTCAGAAAAATACAACATCGAACTCAAGTAAAGGAATCTTATAGGGGTCAGGAATCGCGGGAAGAAATAAAAGCCTAAATGAATCGAAAAAACCCAAAGTATTTTTCTCCTTGCCCCAAACAAAGTCGAGAAACAACATCCAGTATTGGGCCCTACTTTAAACAAGATGGGTCCTCAAGAGACAGCAAGGAAATGAGTGGTACTCGTCCCCCAATATGACTCATTTTTGCAAGCCCCTAAACCCGACTGAGAGTCGAAGTCAAAATGAATTTTTTATGAGGACCACAGAATTTGGTTAACACAACCATTGATGTTATCCTGACGCCAAATGACTTCGAAAGGCGATAAATGAATGGGGCCCTGCACTTGCCCCAGGGGCCCGACTCATGGGAAATCCGTGTTCTCAAAAAACTGCAGAACCCCCATCAGAGCCTTTTTAACCCATGGAGAGGGGCATGTACCGGGGGGGTCCCGCAGTTCTAAAAACAAAAGACAAGCCCCCCTCCCCAAAGGGGGGAGTAAAGCAACAGCAAAGAAAACAGACCGATGCATAACATCCATTCATAAAAATCTTTGAAAGGGTCCCAAAAGCAAGTCCCACCCCTTAGAAACCCCCATTACACAACCAGGGGAACATGGGTTTGAACAGGCGCTCCGTTTGTTCAATATTGGTCCCCTATGACAAGGGGTAAATGCACTAGAAGATAAAAAGAAATGCAGAAAGTAAAAATAAAACTTTTCAAAAGCCTTCGACAAGTGTGCCATGGGGTAATAGCGCACAAAATGCGTGCTAAAAAAAG